TCATTTGGAAATTTATGTCATTTGGAAATTATCTTTCTAGAAATTATTAAACCTCCTCTAGTTTATTATTAGTTCTTAGATCCCCCCAATTTATATTTGACACTTGCAATTTATATCTCTAAAATTGCATTTCAAGGGTATTAAGTGCTTGTATATTGAGGAGGATTTAGTGCAACTCAAGATATAGAAGAGGGAATTATGTATAATTTTCCCTATTTGTTATAATAAAATAATTTATAAATGGTTAATGGAGAAATGGGTAACCCTTCATGAATGAGTTCCTTATTGAAGGGGGGTTAAGAAGACAGTGGAATAATGAAAAGTTGATGACTTTTAATATTACTATAATGTTATGTTATATATTTATTTATTTGAATTGGTAAATAAATAAATTTTTACTCATATTATATTTGATAATTACACATATTTAATAATTCATATAAATATTAATATTAATGTGATATCAATATATATTATAATTATCATACATTAACTATTATACTCAAATAGTATATTAATAGCAGAAAATTATAATTTATAGTTGAAAATTCATAATACTCTTAAAATTGTAGTAGTAATCCATTCTATAAGCATCCTCTGGACCAACTAACTATATCATTTTCTAAATCGATCTTCCTGCACTTTCTATTTGTCCTCAACTCAATAATATTAATGTATTACCTTAGTAACCATAGAATGAAAATTAACCCTTTACACATATAGAGTGAAAGCAATTACACTTATAATGCATTGTCATGGACAAAGCTTTCTTTATTGCAAGAATAAGCATAATGCATTAAGAGATTCAACCAAACTATACAAATAATTTAGCATATTTACAAACATGATAATGCATTAAGAGATTCAACCAAACTATACAAATAATTTAGCATATTTACAAACATGCCTAGGAGTTAGAAACCAATTTACATGCTAAGGCAAACTATACAAATAATTTAGCATATTTACAAACATGCCTAGGAGTTAGAAACCAATTTACATGCTAAGGAAAAAACATATACAAAGATGGAAGGTGAAAAAACCAATTAGTTTATGACTGAAATAACTGCAGATTTTGATAAAATACAGGACCATCTTCTTTGTCGCCTTCACCGGTTTTTTCTCTGCTCTCGAAATTGTTACATTGATGCTTCCATTACCATCTCCTCATTCAATTTGATTCTACTCCACCAGTGATGTTACCATTGACACACTCATACTTCTTGCGGTTTGTAAGTGCTGTAGTTGTGTCTTCTTACTTTTCAATATGAATAAATTTTGATTAAAAGTTAGAATTTTAGTTAGAGAAATTTGATAAGATTCTATAGTAATTTATAGAGATTTATGGAAGATGAATAATTGTAATTTTTTTCATTATTAGTGTGTAATGTCAAAAATTAGTGGGAGAATGTTATAATAGTAATTTATAGTGATTTATAGAAGATGAATAGTTGTAACGTTTTTCATTATTAGTGTGTAATATCAAGACTTAGTAGGGGAATGTTATTAGTGGGTGGTTAAATAAAAATTTGATGCAAATAATTAGGGAGGTTATGAAAAATTAAGTATGTATTTATCTTAATATATGCATGTATGGATGTGCTAGAGATGTATGCATGAATGCGTTTCGGAGGGTATTTTTGGAAGAAATATTTTAACATAGCAACACATTTTTATAATAGTATTAGATATATATACATGTTTACATGTTGCATAATTACTTAATGATTATTAAGATATGTGACTACTAAAATTATTAAATTCATTGATAGTAATATTATCTTGAAAATAGTATAATGTAATAATGTAGAAGCACGAAAACATCTCATTATAGACTTTAGATCTACATGAATTCATTTTCTATCAATTTTCTTTAGCAACTTAAGAATGTAATCTAAGCTATAATTTGCATAAGATGTTATTTCCAATAGATATTTTGTTATGATATATGTGGTAAATATCTCAAGTGTAACTTAAAGATAAATATTCTATAATAAATTAACTCAGAGGAATAAAATGTAAAAACATAAATGAATATAATCAACCGAATCGAATATATTTTTGGTTAAATTTTATTCGTTTATTAACCGAATATTAAAAAAATATTTATTTAAAATTAAATGAACTATTGAGTCGAATATGACCGAATATTTGGAAGAATAATAACCAAACAGTTTATTAATTATTTGGTTTATTTTCACCCCTTACATATGCGTTCAGCAATACGTAGTATTTTTTCAAGAAACATTATCCCTCCTTCATATATAAAGAGAAACTAGTGGAATTAAAGGCATAGAAAATTGACACGTATCATATTATAAAGACACAAAACATCAACGTATCTCATATCATAAATATCTACATGTCACTTTATCATATCAGGTTATAACTTGTGTATATGCCAACAACCTCTATGCACCGATTGAATATCAGTGGCACTTTGAGTAAATTATGCCCGTAAAAATCTCTATCACATTTAGGGGTGTTAACGTAGCGGATATGGTTCAGATATGGCGCTTACCATATCCATATCCACTTTTTATAAATGGATACGGATACAGATACAGATTATCTTCGGTAAGAAAAAACCTTAACCATATCCACACTCATCGAAAACAGATACAGTTCAGATATTAGAGAATTGAACTGGATATGATTACGGATATGAAATAGATATTTGAAAAATGGATATGAATCGATTTTTGTACAAATAAGTTCAGCAAATATCAACATCAAATGATAAAAATATAATAAAATAATCGCATATATAATATCATCAACTGTACCTAGAAATGCTATAAAGTATCTAAGCAGTTGATATAACCAACAAAGCAAAGCATCAAAAGAGCAATCTAGATATGTAATATCATCATTTCAAAACAACTTAATTCACATATAATCAGAATTACTTCAAACAAACACCAAACACAAACAAATAAAGCCACATAATTAGATCTATAGAGTTTCAATCTAACACATCAAGGAAAAATTTAACTAGAATATGATACTTATAATCACAAATTAGCAAAGCAAATGTATGTAAAACTAGAGTTTTGATTCAACCTTATGGAATAGCAAGGATGATGGATCAGCGAGGATGGGCAATGGCGGACTAGGCATGCTGGTCCTGTTCGTGGAGGAGCACGTTGGAGAAGGGGGCAGAGGAGCAAGGAGAAGACGGCGGCAGAGGTCGAATGACGAGGGGTTTGATGGCAGATCTGAAGGAGGAGGTCGGTGGAGGTCGAGCAAGAGGGGAGGAG